AGTTCAGTCTCCAAGGAAATTTCTCGCCCCGGAAATAATCTCACTATGCTAATTGTGGGATGATCATTTTCCACACCAAAACACATTGAAAATGTTGGCTTTTAAGAGATGTAAACAGCATAACTGGGAATTCACTTGCTAATGCTGAGAGAGACGAGAAACCAAGTTTCACGTTGCGAGGGCAGGTCATGGATGCCCAGCTTCTGCTGAGCATGTTTTCCTCAGCACCGCCACGCTCCCTAGTAGAGGGGACTGGTACTTCTTGTTTTGCAGGGGAGCTGGCATCCTCAGCATTGTCATGCAGGTGGCATCTTGATGCTAACAAAGATTGGGCACCTTTGCCAGGCTGCCCCCATGGCTGGCTCTGCAGTGAGTGCCAGACCCTGGTGACAGACTACAGTGGTTCACACGCCTCTCACTCTTCATTACAAATGAGCAGTGCTGGAGGGATTCACTTTGTCCTATATGTTTTCTGCTTTTGCTAGTTTGGTTTTGCTTACTGCTCGAAGCAAGTTGCTGCAGACAAGTTGTAGTCAAGTTCAAATCCACGCTGGTCCTGCTCAGCAAGGAGCAGGAAAGGGTCTGTTCAGTTGGTCATGCTGTCCCTTGCATGTCCTCTCTCTGAAGAAAGTTGGGACGCAGTGCACAGGAACGAGATCCAAAGCTCTCCAGTCAAAGAACAAAGCTGCCTGTTGCTTCTCGGCCCCTTCCCAATCACACCGTTTGTGAGTGAGAGGCTGCACGCATTTCTTGTCACCTCGCTCGTACACTCTCCTCTGAGCATAGTTAAGAATCTGTGAGTTGTTTCTTGCTTTGTCTAGCAAATCACCCAAATCTTGCCAAGTGCTGGGATGCACCTTAATGCTATCTGACAATAAGAATTATTTTTCCTCTTGTGTGACAAAAAATAAAGGGATCCTCTTCTGTATTTGGTAGAATGGTAAGAACAGATGCAATCTTGTCACCAAAATGTAACTCACAAATACCAGAGGCAACTGGTGTGACAGAAAAGCTGCTAAACAGGGCCTCGGGGTCAGGTCTTGCCTTGGAGAGCTCCTGTTTAAGTTGCCTGAATACCTAAATGCGGTGCCTTCTATTAAAACCATTGAAGTTGGAGCTTTTGATTCTAGAAAAATCGTGTCCCACCTGTATCTCCTGTTAGTGGTAATTGCAAACTCTGGCAAAATACATAAAGCCCTTATTCCAGAAAACTCTGACAGGTAGAGAAAAGAAAGTGGATGGTTAGAGATGTGTGGGAGAGAGAGAGAGAGAGAGAGAGAGAGAGAGAGAGAGAGAGAGAGAGAGAGAGAGAAATTGTGTGTGTGTGCACATGCCCTTTTCCAGGCATGCCTCCTGTGTGTCCTAGCTAGCCTGGACACTATAGAGGCCTTAGACCTGAAATGGCAACTGGCTCAGTGCCATGATTTGGTCTTGAATGTCCCTCAAAAGTCTGTGTGTTGAGCCTCAGCCTTCAGCCCTAGGCACTGTTGGGAGGCGGAGGAACCTTCAGGAGATGAGCCCAGTGAAAGTTAAGTTGCTGAGAGTGTGCGCTTGAAGCCCCTCCCATCCTCTCCCCTCCCATCCTCTTTGCTTCCTGGCCACTGCGAGGTGGATAGATTTCCTCTATTGTGGTCACCCACCGTTATGCCCTGTGCCATCATAGTATCAAAAAAAGGGGACAAGTGACCACGGTCTGAAGACTTTGAAACTGAGCTAAAAATAAGCCCTTCCTTCTTTAAAGTTGGTCATCTCAGGTTTTTCTCAGAAAAATGAGCAATAGGTTAGGAGAGAGAGAGAGAGAGAGAGAGAGAGAGAGAGAGAGAGAGAGAGAGGCCTAAGAAAAGCTGCTTTTTTTTAGGAGAAGGTTCTGGAGAAGGTGGTCCTATAGGACAGAACTCTTTGAGTATTCTTAGCCTACTCAGTCAAAGTTAGGAAAAACCTGCACACCTTCCCCTTTCCACTGGGGGCTGCTTCCTGTACCTCCCGCCTCCCTGCTAGGCTGTGGATGGAGCCCTTCTACTAAGCCTGCTTTGCTAAGTGGACATCAGCAAAGAGACGTTTCTGCCCACCATCATGCCAACTGCAGAGACGGTGGGGAGGTGCAGCTGACCTACCTGAGGGAGAGTAGCAAAGAGGCAGCATCCTGGCCTCTCTGCGAGAGAATCACAGAAAAGAGGGAGCTAAAGACAGTGGAAGCGAATTTTAGAGACATCTTCTATGTGGAAAGAGTTTTCAGAATCTATTAGTGAAGTTCTGGACTGACCTGGAAATGACCCATGAGTGTGAACTAGAAAAAAGCCCAACCTGACACCATGTTGTACTCAGGTACCATCTTAGAGCTTAAGTTTGTTTCCTTAAGCTTGTTTCTTATAAATGTTGTCATAGTTGCCTAACCCAGTACCATTCCATGCTTTGTCATGAGACCACTTGCTCCCGACATAAAATATCAAACACCTTTGTTCCTTTGTCAAAAGCGAAGCCCATGCTTCGTAAGAGTACTTCTGTAGCTACACTAAGTCACGCAGACCTTGAGCGAGAACTGTGTAACTGTTCTCTCCTCCTGCCCTTCAGGGTCCATGCTCTGTCCTGTACTGAGCCGCCCACAGCTGGCCCCTAACAAACTTGTTTGTCTCTGCATCTGGCCTCGGTGAGTGACTCAAATAAACATGTTGGCCACACCATGTGAAAATGCTCAAAATCTACAGAGCTCTAGGTTTGAGATCCCAAGTAACATCAGACTGACTCCTAGGTGGTAAAGAAGGGGGCAAAGGGAGCTGGGGAGATGGCTCAGTGGAATAAGCGCTTCCCTGGCAAGTGCAAGGGCCTGAGTTCAATCCCTGGTTCCACCAAAAAAAAAAAAAAAAAAATCCTTTAAAATAAAAAAAAGAAAGTGGCAAAGAAAAATAAAAAGAAGGGGGCAAAGTATCATAGTACTATAAGGCCTTAAATGAAATAAAAACTTAACCTACAAGCCTAAAAAAGTGGGCCAGGTGGGTACTCTAAATCTAAAACATTGTCTGCTTGCTAAAGTAAATATTTAAATAGGTGGGGCTGGTGAGATGGCTCAGTGGTCTAAAGCACCCACTTAGAACAAGCTTAGCAAAGCACAGGGACCACGGTTCAATCCCCCAGCACCACATGCCAGCCAGCCCCGCCCCCTGGTGGGCTGAGCTGGCCATACACACACACACACACACACACACACACACACACACACACAAACAAATTTAAAAAAAATATTTAAATAGGTGCCACAGTCTTGTGATATAATACTCAAAATGCCCAAAGTAACTTGAATAAAGAATCAGGAAAATTCAAATTCAAATGAGAAAAATAAACACTGCCAATGAAGGTAATCCAGATATTAGCGTGATCTTATGAGGATTTTAAACTAGCTATTAGGAAAATGCTCTAAGCATCAATTACAAATATTATTGAAACAAATAAAAAATTACGAACACTAAGTAAAAAAGATTATGAAGAAAATCCAAATGGAAATTATAAAACTGAAAATTAAAATATGTACAGTAGTGCCTTGGTTCATGCATGCTCCTATTTGTGAACAATTTGGTTTGGACACTGAAGTGTCCAGCAAAAATTTGCTTCTACTCACGAACTCCTCACCAGGTGGGGAACATAACCGTAGCTATCTTCCCAGGAGGAACAAATTAAATTCCTGAACTGAAGTATTGCTTTAATCATACTCTTAAACTCATATGATGGGTTCAACAGCATGATAGAGACAACAAAGGAAGTGATCGTTAAATTTGAAGACAAATCAGTGGAAATTACTCAATTTTTGAAAGACAGCAGGTAAACAAATTTTATTTTAAAACTTTAGTTTTTGTTGCTTGAGACACGTTCTTGCTATGCAGTCCACACTGGCCTTGAGCTTGTGAACTCCCCCCTAGCCCCGCCACCTCAGCCTTCCAAGTGCCAGGCTTATAGGCATGAGCCACCATACAAGAGCTCCAAGGACTTGTGGGACAGTGACAAGAGACTGAACATGCAGACTCGGTGACCAGTAACTTGGCAAAGGTGTTATGATGGTGCTGGCTGGAACAGAGGCCTGTACGTGAGTCACTGGAAACCATGCAGGCCAGAGGGAAAAAGCAGCTCAAATAGGGGAAGTAACTTGAAAACAATAAAACAGAAGGTTTAAATTTTAAAAATAGCAATAGTTATGTGAAGTGTAATGCTTAGGAACCCCAAATAAGACATATAGGATTTTAAATTTAATTTTTATTTATGTGTGTGTGTGTGTGTGTGTGTGTGTGTGTGTGTGTGGCCAGCTCAGCCCACTAGGGGGCAGGGCTGGCTGGCATGTGGTGCTGGGGGATTGAACTGTGGTCCTTGTGCTTTGCTAAGCTTGTTCTAAGTAGGTGCTTTAGACCACTGAGCCATCTCACCAGCCCTTTTTTTTTTTAAATTTAATTTTTATTTATGTGTGTGTGTGTGTATGTGTGTGCGCATATAGGATTTTAAAATGGGACCTAGTTATATGTTATCTATAAGAAATTCATTTTTCAAAAAAATTTATGTGTGTGTATGTGTGTGTGTGTGTGTGTGGCCAGCTCAGCCCACCAGGGGGAGGGGCTGGCTGGCATGTGGTGCTGGGGGATTGAACCGTGGTCCCTGTGCTTTGCTAAGTTCGTTCCAAGTAGGTGCTTTAGACCACTGAGCCATCTCACCAGCCCCAAGAAATTCATTTTAATGTGGTGATAAAAGTTACTCAATTATAAAAGTATGAAAATATATTATACAATATAAAATATATATTTATAAAAAATATATTAAAGGGCTGCAGAGATAGCTGAGTGGTCTAAGTGCCTGCCTGGCAAGCACAAGGACCTGAGTACGATGCCCAGTACTGCATGCTGTGCCAGCCCCAGAACCAGGCATGTGGCACACGTCTATAATCCCAGAACTGGGGAGACTGAGGCAGGAGGATCACTATGAGTCTGAGCTGCGTAGTGAAACCTTGTACCAAATAAAGAAATAAAAGATTTTTTTCTAAAGCATATTAAAAAGTATAAAAAGTATATTTATTTCAAGTTGTCCCAACAGGGTGAAATGTTTTCAGTCAGCAATGATCACGCCTCAGGTGAGCCTCACTGGCTACAATACTGCCACTGCGCGCAGCTAAAGGAGTATATTTATATCTAGCCATGTAGACTGCTGTGTATAGGAAATTGCCCATTGTAAAAAAGGATATTATTTAATGATAAGATAGCCAAATCACCATGAAGATATACCAATCCTAACAACAGAGTTTCAAACATCTGGAGCAAAAACTGAAAGAAGAAAATATAGATAAACCTCTTCTCTGACTACCAAAATTTCCACTCTGTTCATTTTAGTAACAGAGAACTATAGACAGGCTATTAACAAGGACTAGAAAAATTCAACAACCCATAGCCAACCTGTCCTGATTAACAGCTATAGAACCACCCACCCAACTAGGCAGGATGAACTTCCTCTTCAAATATACATGGGATATTCACCACCAAGGTAGACCATATCTTGGATTATAAAACGTTAGAGTATTAAATAAATAGCAACAACAACCAAAACAATACCACCAAAAAGTCCAGGAAATCTTGAAACAGATAGAATAACACACTTCTAAATAAATTATGCATTAAAGATTTTTTTTAAATGTATTGGTACAGGGTCTCACTACACAGCTTGGACTTGTCGTGGTCCTCTTGTTTTCAGCCTCCCCAGTGCTGGGATTACAGGTGTGCACTACCATGCCTGGTTGCAGTGGCCAGCTCAGGACTCGTGGAGGTGGGGCCAGTACCACATGTGGTGCTGGTGATCACGAATTGAACCCTTGTTTCTGTTTTTGCCTAAGCAGGTGCTGAATCTGCTGAGCTACCTTGTTGGCCTTATGTATTAAAGATTAAGTATCATAAAATACTTTAAATATTGAATTGAATGAAATAAAAATATAGCATTAAAATCTTAGCTACTTAGAAGAAATTTTGTACTTAAGTGCTTGGGTTGGAAAGGCTTCAAAGAATTCTCTTCTTTCATTGCAAGATGCTAGAAAAAAGAAAGAAGCTTAAATAGATTAAAGAAATAGTACAAGAAGTTGATACAATTTTAAAAAAGCAGGGCTGGTGAGATGGCTTAGTGGTCTAAAGCACCTACTTAGAACAAGCTTAGCAAAGCACAGGGACCGCAGTTCAATCCCCCAGCACCACATGCCTGCCAGCCCCGCCCCCTGGTGGGCTGAGCTGGCCACACACACACACACACACACACACGCACAAATACATAAAAAATGTAAAAAAAAAAAGCAGCAGAGAATATTAGCAATAAAATTCAGCAACTTATATAGTAACACATGATGAAGTATTAGAAGATATGTTACCGAGATCAACAATAAAGAAGATACTATTAAAGATTGCATATGTGTATCTAAGGGGAAATTAAAAACAACTTCACACAGGGGAGATGGCTCAGTGGAATAAGTGCTTCCCTGGCAAGCGCAAAGGCCTGAGTTCAATCCTTGGTTCCACCAAAAGAAAACAACTCCACACACACCATATTGACTTGGATTAAATGGATCACTTCCTCAAAAACCACAAACTACTAAAATTCACCCAAGATAAAACAGATAATCTAAATAGTCCTATAGCTATCACAGAAATATAATTTGGAGTTAATTTTTTTTCTGAGTAGGAAATGTAGTTTTACTGGCTGTTTTTACAAATTATTTAAAGAAGTAATAACAGTTTTGCATAGTCCCCTACAGAAAGTAGAAGAGAAGGAGGACTTCATAATTCATTTCATAAGGCATCTATTACTCGATACCAAATCCAGATTGACAAGGAGAGAAGCTACAGGTTAGTCCTCTAACATGACTGTGGACACAAAATGCTCAATGTGTGCTACCAAACTGAATCCTGAAATATATGAAAATAGTGCACTCCCCACAAATATACAGTGTTTTTCCCCTTTAAAGACAACATAATCATGAATATATAAAATTTCATAGTCTACACAAGAACTCCTAGAACTAAAATATGAAGGTTTCTTTTTAAGATACATAATGTAGGGCTGGGGAGATGGCTCAGTGGAATAAGTGCTTCCCTGGCAAGTGCAAGGGCCTGAGTTTAATCCCCGGTTCCACCAAAAAAAAAAAAAAAAAGATACATAATGTAAGGTCCACAAAAATACTGATCATATTTACTTATATATAGCCACAGTAAATAACTATAAAACAAGATCACAAATAAAATGCCTCTTATAATAGCTCAAAATTACTTAGGATACAGCATCAGTCTACTGAAAGCAACAAAATGCTGATGAAAGGAATCCAAACAGACCTGAATCAATGGAGAACACACTGCATCCAAAGACTGGCAGATTCAAGGCAACAAATATTCACAGGATTTTCTTGTAGCTATACAAAGATTGATTCTGAAATTTATATGTAAAGATGGTAGAGCTGGGATACATGAAACAATTTTGAAAAAGAAAAATGTAGTTGAAGTTGACATCTGATATTAAGACTCAACACGCAGCCACAATAACGGTATGGGAGAATCACATGGCCAGTGGGTGGAAGGGATCCAACACAAATCCACAAATATGTAACAAACTGATTAAAAAAATAAAGGCACAACACTAATTCAAAGAGAGATTTTTCCACAAATGTTACTAGAAAATTGGGCATCCATCAACAAAACACAAAAAGCAAAATGTTAACCTAAACCTCACACCTTATATAAAAACTAACTCAAAATGGCTAATAGATCTAAACATAAACCTGTAAAACAGATTTTAGACTAAAACAGAAGAAAATAAATATTTATGACCCAGGGTTAAGTGAAGACTTCTTTAGATAGAACATGTAAAGCACAATCCCTGAAAGAAAACTGTTAAAGCAGTTTGTATCAAAAGGAAAAACTTCTATGATGTGAAAGATACTGTTAATAGAATAAAAAGAAAAAGACAAGGGGCCGGGGAGATGGCTCAGTGGAATAAGCACTTCCCTGGCAAGTGCAAGGGCCTGAGTTCAATCCCCGGTTCTGAAAAAAAAAAAAAAAAAAAAAGACAAACCATGGGCCAGGAGAAACTATGTGCAGATTTTATATCTGGCAGATAACTTGCATGCAAGGGACACAAAGAACTCTTTAAACCATACAGTAGGAAGACTAGTGCAATCGTGAAAATAGGCAAAGGATTTGAATTACATTTCCTCAGATAGAATCTGTAAATGGTAAATAAACATAGAATCATGTTCAACATCACTGGCTGTTAGAGAAATACACTTTAAAACCATGGTGAGACCTACTACACATCCATCATAGTGACTAAAATTAAAAAAAAAAAACAACACAAAACATTACATTGCTGGTGGAATTCAAAATGGTGTGGCCACTCTGGAAACTTTTTGACAGTTTCTTATAAAGTTACACATATACTTACCTTTTTTTTTTTTTTTTTTGGTGGAATGGGGGATTGAACTCCAGCCCTTGTGTTTGCCAGGGAAGCGCTTATTCCACTGAACCATCTCTCTGGCCCTCCATATACTTAACTATTAAACCTAGCAATTGTTCTCCTGAGTATTTACCTTAGAAAAACAAGGCTAATGTTCATACAAATAACTTTCACAAATGTTTATAGCAGTATTCAAATACTTATATGAGCTTTATTTGTAACAGACAAAAACTAGAAACAATTCATATGTCCGTCCATGGCAAAGGATTAAATAAATTACGGTGCATCCATACTTTGGAATAGTACTCAGCAATGAATGGGAACAAGCTATGGATAAGTACAGCCACTTTAATGGATATTAGAGGCATTTTGCTGAATAAAAAAAGAGAAGTCTAAAAGGGTTACAGATTGTATGACTTAGTTTATACTACATCTAAGAATGACAAAAGTATAATAATGGAGCACCATCAGTGAAAACTGGGGTAGAGATGGTAGAAAGACTTTGAAGAAGATTTTTGCAGTGGTGACAGAGTGCATTTGTGATGCTAT